CACACACACACACACACACAAACACACACACACACACACACACACACAATTTCTCTCTCTCTCTCTCTCTCTCTCTCTCTCTCTCTCTCTCTCTCTCAACACAATGGCATGCACAGAGGACTCATTCCAAGCTGGGGGCAATGAGGTAAGGGCACCCATGGAGGTAAGAATGCCTGACGTTCAATGAAGACTTCACATGATGCTTCCTAAATGCATCTAGTTTGACAGTCCTACTGTTCAGTACTTAGCTCTCCTGTCGAATTGGTCAGCACAACTTTCTCACACACGTCTACCTCAACAGCTTTGCAAGCCACTTAAGCAGGTAAACATAGGTGCAGTGCCAAGGAGCATGCGCAATTGATCCCATGGCCATCATGACACAGAATGGGCTGGCAACATTAGATTCCGCTGCCCGATTTCTTTATGGTCCTCTGAGGGTGAGCAGGATTCTGCATACTGGTTGACTTCATAGTAGTCCACGCTTGAGCACCTACCACAGATTGGTATCGACAACAAATTACGATCTCACGATAAATTCTTCATCTGGCACAATGCATGCCATGAACTCCGTGATTCCCTATACTTCAAATGATTCCAAAAAATCTGGCGTCGCAGCGGTGTGTCTTAACACGTTGTCACACCATCAAAGTCTCCCCTAATGGGAGTTAGGACGATTTCGCGATAAATTTTCATCTTCTGCTCTAAGTTGGGAACCGCATCAAGTTACCGAACGAGAGAGATCTGATCACTTGCAAGTTGCAGCTTCTCAGCAGAGACTCTATATCCAACACCTCCGTAGTTTATTTTTAGCACAGGTTGAGCCTCACTCAACACGATATAAGAATGAGGAAGCCTGGCCGTAATTCCAAGATGGTTGTTGGACTATCCACACAAGAACATGTCTTCGATTATCCATGGTGCTCCTCGATGGGTGGTCCTAGAGTGAATGTAAAGATTCAACATCCATTTGCTCCACCTCATCACTTTCCATGGGTGAACACGGTATAGCTGGCAATGTGTCCATTGGGAGAGAATTTTTTATTTTTTTTATTTTTAAATTTGGACCATTTCTCGATTTATGCGTGTCATCCTTGCGCAGGGGCCATGCTTATCTTCTCTGTATCGTTCCAATTTTAACAGATGTCCCGAAGGACTCCATTGGGAGAGAAAATGAGAATGTTACACTTTCAAACCTCCCTGCGTAAGTGCCTGGTGCCGAGGGGGTTCACTGGCAGAGGCGGAGGAGGAGAAGGGAGGGGTGGGGAGAAACAGGCAAAGAAGGGCGAAGATAAGGGTTGATGGGAAGGGAAGAGGATGTTGGAAGATGCTTTGCACATAGGAGGGAAGTTGGGTACTGCGGCGTGTTTCCCGGCTAGCAGAGAAGTCCCTGGCGAGGATTGGGGTTTGAGGTGTGCGATGGTCCTAGCAGTACCCCCCTTGAACGGTTTCTCGAACCTCAAGGGTAAGGCTTTATCCCCTCGTCTCTTCTCCCCCCTTTCTCAAAAAAACTTTGTTGTTTCATGCTTGCCGGTAATAAGCACCCGGACTGCCGCCCCCCAGAATAGATGGGGCCTCTGTGCGTTAAAAAAAAAAAAAAGCGTATTCATGCAAGAGAGGGGGAGGGAAAGAATCAGGGGCGGTTGCTAAGATGTTTAGCATGCAAAGAGGGAAGGGGGAAAGGGAGAAGAAGGAAGGTACAAATGATTTCCAGGGCTGAGTGAGGGGAGGGGTTGCGCAATATGCAATCTTCCAAAGGGGTCACGAGGGTAGTGTTGAGATTGGTCACATAAGCAATCACGTAGTAGGGATGGGGGAGGCAGAACGTCAAGGTGGGTCGTACTATCCATCCGTGGGGAAGGGGCAGGAGGCATCAGAGTGGAGGACGATATCTGTGAGGGAGGTGGAGGCATGGAAGTTAAATGTCAGATCACAGTAGGCTGGTGGGCTTGGAGGAGGCAAAGGCAAGAGAAAACAAGATGTTGAATAAGCTGGGGGCAGTAGGGAGTTGATGCTGGATGGGAGGAGGAGGAGGTGTCAGAATGGAGTAGGAGAGGGCAAAGAGGAGCTGGAGATGGGGGAGTTCGCTGTCATACATCGTATATGTGGAGGAGGAGGAAAAGGAGGCGGTGACAAACAGACAGGGGTCGAGGACGAGAAGGGATCGGGGAGGAGAGAAGGAGATATCGAGGAGGAGGGTGTGGGATGCTCGGTGTTTGGCAGCAGGACGAGATGATGTCAGGTCGGAGGAGGGCAGGACGAGGATGGGAATGGAAGGTCTTCAGTCTCAGTCAGGGAGACATTGCAAGAGCAGGAGGAGAGTAGGTCGAAAAGCAAGTGATGCAGGATATCCGGATCATAATTGAGCAGGCAGAGAGCTGGGGGAGGGGGAGAATGTGGGGGATTTGTGAGAACAGCAGTCTGAATAAGAGAACGAACAGACATGGAGGTGGAGGAGGAGGAGGAGGAGGAGGAGGGGAGGAGGCTCCGGAGTTCAACAGTGGACAGGAGTGACTGTTCAGATGGAGCCACAAGAGATCCACGGAAAACAAAAAGAACCCTCCCCCAGTTCCATTGCATCTGTCTTTTGGGTTACTTTTCTAAACCACCGCTACGTACAACTCTATGAGCCTCTTTTTGCCGAGGCGGAAATGGACTGTGCGCCCAGCTTTGCTGAAGCGCCAGCGTGACCTTTTTTCATACTTGCAGTGCGCCGTGCGGTGCGAGTGCCCATGCGCAAATTAGTGATGCGGCGGATGCGCTCAATTTATTTTTATTATTATTATTTTTTATTATTATTTTTTAGGGGTGGGGTTGTGTGTATACAGGGGAGAGAGAGAGAGAGAGAGAGAGAGAGAGAGAGAGAGAGAGAGAGAGAGAGAGAGAGAGAGAGAGAGAGAGAGCAAAGGACCCCTTTCACACACATCAGACGGCCCCCGCAGGTAATCTGGAGGGTCCTCGCAGCAAATTAGCATAGACCCTCCATCAAACTGAGGCAGGCGTTGAGTATGAAGTAGAGCAGGAGCTGGCGGAATACTCTGGATTCAAATTCAGGTCTGTGTTTCAGCAGTTATGGGTTGCTCACTTAGCTAGGCCCTGTTGGTCTCTGCACGTAATTCTCAGGGGTTGGGTGCACCACTCACCAAATGTGCAAAATTAGAATGAATCTTCTGCTAGAACATGGAACCATATGCCGCCATATGTTTTGCCTTTTATGCATGTGGTGAGTAAAGGCCCTTCGGGCCACTGCATATATTCCTAAGAAAAGGAAAAGGAAAAACAGAGAATCACGTGCAGATAGCAACAGGACCTAGCTGAGTTAGTGACCCATAACCGCTGGCTGATACACAGACCTGAATTCGAATCCAGACTATATATTATCGGCCCACTCATGCAGAACTGGAAGCCTAAAGGCTAACGCCTACCTCTGCTTTACGATGGATCCTTGTGGATTCGCTGTAGGGGCCCTTCGGAAAAGAGACTGGACCTAGGCTACCAGCCGGGCCACCCGGGCCATCCTGTTTTCACGGGTGGCCCGGCCGTGCAAAGGCCAAAAAAGGTCCCAGCAAAAAAAAAAAAAAAACACTATGTCATGCAGAAAAATAAACTGAACAACTTTTGCCTCAGGGTCACATCGAACTTCTTTACCAAATTTTAAATAAAAATTAAAAAAATAAAGTTGAAAAACATTTTTCAATTTTCAATTTTTTCTTTTTTTTCTTTTATTTGTTTTTAGCCCGGCCGGGCAAGTGGTCCCGGGACACTCTGGTAGACTAGGACTGGACACAATTAGGACATGCACATCTACACGCACACACATGCACACACAGTTTTGGGGTGTGACGTGGCCCCAACTTTTTTCCCTCTTGCAGTTTGATTTTTAGAAGCGAGGGGGACGTTTGGCCACCCCACCCTGTCCTTTCAGAATTTTCATTTTTTTTCCCCAAAAAGTGATGCGCCGCAGCACATGCGTGCGCATGTGATATCCGCCGCACGTGCACAACTCATGTGCACGTGATGCGCCGCAAGTATGCTTTTTTTTCAGGTTTTGGATGGCGCACCATCCATTTTGGTCAGTTGGCACCTGGCCTCTGAAGAATGCAGTATAGGTTATACCACATTCTTAGGGGGGTTCAAGTTTGCCTGTGAAAGGTAGTGGTGGTTTAAGGATATGGGGCTTGTTCGACACTCCTCGGGCGCGTAAATCCCCCGAGGAATTCATCGTTCCACTTATTCTCGGGGACGAAATTGAAAAAAACCATGAAAACATTTCCTTAGGGATTCCTCGGGGATTCCTCGGGCTACAGCTATTTCGACGCGTTCCCCAAGGGACCTCCCGAGGTCCCTCGGAGGTCGAGCATCCGGAAGAATCGGGGCGTCGACGACAGCTCTCTCGACGACAATTTTCGACGCAGCTGGTCCATTGCTGTTCCTGGCGGCCCGTCGATGGACATCTTCGGTCGGCAACGGTCGGCGTCATGGAATTGTCCGCCAACGGTCCCCGTTGGCGGTCTGCCGGCCTCCGCGACGTTGAAAAGGGCAGTCTTACGCCGCTGCCCTTGGCCCCGAGCGGGAAAGCGCCCAACGGTCGGCAGATTCGAATACTTCAGCCGGCCCCCGCTCTCCCGATTGCGCAGTGTCTTTCGTGACGGAATACATTACCCTTCTTTTGTCGATAGCTGCGATCGGCCGTTTGCACCACTGTCCCTCGCCGTTTCCTGGACGTCCACCGTTGTCTTCTAGCTGCTGGCGTCGTCCACGTGCCTTTCATGGCCGACGTCTTTCGGAGGCTGCCGCTGCTGGTGCTGGTCGTCCTCTTGCTCCTCCTTTTAGTTGTCTTCCACGTGTGCATCCTCCACAGCATTCCGCGACGTGCCCATAGAAGACGGTCTTTGAAGAAGGACGTCAGGATGGAGGGGCGCCAGGCGATCTGCAGGTCTGCAGGGGAGCAGGGTGGTGCGTCGAGGAGTTCCAGGCCGTCGGAGCGGTCTGGGTACGCGCACCTACCACCGCACTTGTAACCTCCGCCCGACACGTCCAACGAGGTGGCAGATGACAGACGGTCACGGACTGTGCTGCTGGGAAGCTTGTCGACCCAGGAGTGGGTGGCTACAGAGCTGTGTGGAAGTTGCGACGACACTTATCGACAGTCCTACACCGAACTCCTCCAGCAGGGGCTTAGTGGCGATGAAGGCGATGGCGGCGTGAATCTATCGTTCAGGCTGTGTAGCGGGAGGTTGTCGGCCACCTCGCAAACGGTCATCGTTAACCCCCATCCCGACGACGACGGCGGGCAAGTGACGGCTGTTGTGCGATCATTGAAGTCTCCAGCGCCGGTTTGGGAGGCGCCGGGGAACAACAGGGATCCTCCGAGGCAGCTATTCCCCGTCTGTGTCGAGGGGTGCCTCCGCTCGCCCCCAGTGGATGCAGTCTCCATCGCCCCTGTCCGCCGGTTTGAGTGCAGCCCGCCGTCATGGCAAATGCAGGGAGATGGATTGTGGGGTCGCCGATCTTGGTGACGCCCGGGACGGGAGGGAGGTGTGGGCAGAACAGCGATGGGGGTTGTTGTCGGGGCGCAAAGAATCCATAACTCGGGGGGTGCAGCGACTCCGTGTGGGGGAGCAGGAAAACGACGGCGACGCACCAGTTGTGGACGCGGACGATCACGAGTGGAACGACAACGACGGCGAAGGTGGGGAGGAGGACGCAGGCTACGTTTCGTCGTTCAAGCAAAGCAGCATGGGAGGAAGGGCCGGGAAGTCGAAGGCGTGTGCCCGCAATGGTCGTCAGGGGAAGAAAGCGGCGGGGAGGGGGAGCGATGCCGAAGGTGACATTGATGTGGAAGGCGGTCGTCAGTTCTGGTCCGTCGACGACATTATAGCGCTCATCTGGGCTAAACGTGACCAGGTGGGCGTCGACAAAGACGCAAATCGGTGCGGGAAGAAGTGGGACAATTTGATGCAGCAGTTCAAGAAGGTGCATCACTTCCAAGGCTTGTCCAATTCTCTAGGAAGGAGAGGACATCCAAGGGCTTCAATTTCAACGTGGATCGTGCGGTTTACAACGAGATATTGGGGTTGACCGCCAAGAACCACACCATAAACCCGAAGAACGTCGCTAACAGTGGTGCTACGGGTGGTGTGCATCTGTCGTCCGCCTCTTCTGCGGATCCTGAATCTGTGGGCGATGGGGACGGTGGTGCAGGGCACGACGACGACGACGACGGGTCGACGAAAGGTTCTTCTCAAACGACGGGTACCCAGGCGGTTTCGACAAGAGGAAGAGCACGAGGCAGCAAACTTTTAAAGCGATGACAAAATACATGGAGAAGCACGGGGCGCTAATGGCATCTACGATGAAGAGCAACAACAACCGTCAGTGCTCCATCCAAATCCGACAGTGAGAGGCGTTTGAAGCAGAGGTCGAAGTGCAGAAAAAGCACTACGCAACATCTGACGAAGCCAACAAACTGATGTGCCAGGCTCTGATGGAGATACCCAAGGCCATCCGCGAGCATTAGAGTTTGTGCCGCCTCTGCTGTGCGCATTGTGGTTTCCATGGATGTGGACGGCGCGAAAGTGAGAGCCTTTCCGTCGTCGATGTGGCCGTCACCGAGCCATCGTCGACGTGCCGGTTCCCGATTGGCCGTGCTGGCCAGGGAAGTGGGTGGTGGTCCGATTGGGTGGATGACTCCTCCTGTGGACATTGACTTTTTTTTTTTTTTTTTTTTGGTTTGTCGTAGGCTTTTGCCGTATGGCAGGACGGATAATTTCGTCATCTCATAATTTAAATTGGCGCCGATGGAGTGCAGTATGCACTTTCCTTTTTTAAATGACGACTTGGATTTGCTTTGTCTCTCTCCCTTTCTATCTATCTACTTGTCTCTCTCCCTCTGTCTCTCTGTTTTCGTCTCTTTCCCTCCCCCCCCCCCCCCCCCCCCCCCCCCCCCCCCCTCTCTCTCTCTCTCTCTCTCTCTCTCTCTCTCTCTCCCCCCAACATGTGTTTTGGTTCCTCTCCCCCCAACATGTGTTTTGGTTCCTCTCCCCAAATGAAATGCAAACGTTTAATAAAGGTGTTGTCTTTAATGTCGTCCATTTATGGAATGTTGTTGTTCATATCGTAAATACCCTCACATAGTCGTCGATGGAAATGTCCTGCTTGTGTTCATTGCAAATCGTCGTCTACATGTGGATGTCCACTCGTTACAACTGGACATTTAGAAATCTGTTGTTTTCCTTTTTTTCTTATTTCGTGCCGTTGTCGATCCACGAGTGGGGTGGCGGTTGTCGGAGGTCCACGTTGGGGGGTTCGTTAACCCTCCCCTTCAATATGTACGCTATGGTGCTTCGGGGGGGAAGAGGGGGGGGGTTAGGTGGGTTTCGTGGTTGGGTACGTTCGTGGCCGGCAGGGAGTTTTTTCGATGGGGGGGGGGACGGCAACTGTTATGGGGGCAGGCTTTCGGGGCGGGGGGTCCTTCCGAGTCCAGAATTCAAGAAGGGTGGCGAGAAGATGGGTGGCGGGGTGACGGATGCACATTGCACACCATTCTAGCCCGCGACCCTTGGCCTTTCGTTAGGTCGTCCACGATGACCCCTACGACACCATCGTACTGGCAGAAGGGCGATGGAATTGTCGTTCAACAGTCCAACCCATGATTGTATCCAACCCAGCGGGTTCACTGTCTTCTGCGCGCTACGAAGCCCACTCAACACCGCGGGTTCGTTGTCTTTTGCGGCAGGTTCGCTGTCTTCTGCGCGCGCTACGAAGCCCACTCAACGTCGCCTTCTGCGCGCGGTCCGACGTCATCGTCGTCATCGTCACCGCCTTCTGCGCGCGCTACGTGGCCCACTCAACTGCGCCTTCTGCGCACGTTACGACGTCGTCGTCGTCATCCTCAACACCTTCGCCGCCATCAACGCCATCATCGCCTTCGTCTCCATCATCGCCATCGCCACCGCGATCGCCGTGGAGACGACCTTTCGACTTTGGGGCCGTCGTCGACAACGTCTCCATCATCGCCATAGCCGCCATCGCAGTGGAGACGACCTTTCGAATCGCACGGCACGTTTCACCATCGCCACGGAGATCTCGACTTCGCGGGTGATCAACCTTCAAGTGGGAGTGTTGTGCGCCATGTCGTCCCGCGGTTCTGGACGCGTCAAGTCCGCCGCCAACCTGGCAGTGGAAGCGGCGGTCCGAGAGAAAAAGGGCTGCCACGTAGCCAACAAGAAGAGGAAGGTCGTCCAAGGCGGCCTCTCACTTGCAAGTTACGTCGTGGATGAAGAATGGGTGCCGAAGGGGGCGGCGACTTCGACGAAGAGGACGAAGCGTCGTTGAAGAGGAAGCCGTTGAGGCGGACGGGTGGAGGCCTCTGGATCGACGAGGGTGGCGAAAGACGAGGCGGAGGAGGTCGCGTCATCATGGATGACGTCATCGACGTGGACGCCGCGACGACATCCAGGCAGGGCGGGGGAAGTGGCGTTGCACAACAAAATCGCGCGCCCGTGCCACGTGTGAATGACGCCCCGGACGCGCAAGAGGGTGCTGTCCACACACGAACACCAGCAACCCTGCGGTCAAGGACGGCTGCAGACGTTGGCGTGAATGCGCAAGCTGTTGCTCAGGGGAACAAGAACCGCTCTCCTGCACAGGAGGTGCGCGGGGCCGCAGCAGGCGGGTGCTCACACACGGGGGAAGGGGTGAGGGCAGGCGGGGCCGCAACAGGGGGGGCTTCACACGCGGGGGAAGGGGCGAAGGCAGGCGAGGTCGTCGCGGGGGGGGGGCTTCACACACGGGGGAAGGGGCGAGGCAGGCGATGTCGCCGGAGCAAGGGAGGACGACGACGCGCTGGTCAACAGGGTGCGGCCGCGGAATACGCTGGATGGAATGGAGGCGGCGTCGAAGCTGTGGGTGGACGACCGCCCCTTCTGGAATGAAACGGAAGGGAACGCCATAGTCACGTTGATACAGCAAGCGCGCCTGTATCTTGTGCCTGTGGCGTGGGGAGTGCAGCCTCCGACCGTTCGTAGAAGCATCGTCTTGCCTCATACCACCATCCCGCAGCAGAAAATTGAGGACGGAACGGAGTTCAACGTTGCGAAGGAGAGGGCGTTCAAGGTGCAGACCATCGCTTTGCGGGTGATCCATGGGTGGGTCTTCAAGTCGACGAGCAGGCAACGGGGGTACCACGCTGTGTACAAGTACACGTTGAACCACGCGGCCACTGACATCACTCGCGCCATGTGGGTGGGGGAGGACTGACGTATATGTGTGAGCCCCATGGTGTTCCACATTACGCTGGACATGGATACGAAGTTGCCACTATGGTTCGTCGGCGCCGACATCGAAGACATGCACGTTTCCGTCATGGGAGGGGACGTTCCCGTGATGGTAATCATCAATGTGGCGGATCGATTGTCATAGGGGTGTTTCATGAACGTTTCGTTTTCTTAATTTATTTTTTTTTGGGACATGGCAAATCGATGTCCGCATATGTTAAAACGAACATCTAATTGTGTTGATTGATATTCATGATGTTTACAGCTTTGACTTGAACCGATGGATGATGACAAAGTGGGGGATGTTCATACACGGCATTGCAAATGTGAGCAGGAATGAAGGCAATAGAAATGACACACACAACTTCGTGCAATTGTTTTCTTTTCATTCGTCGTCAAATAAGAAGACAAGCCACGCAACAGAAAGAAGTGACATGATAGGTTGTGAGATTGTTGTCACTCGCAGTAGAAGCAGAAGACGACACAATTTGGAAAAACGAAAGGCCTTCATGGCAACTTCAATCCCAACTTCCGAAAAACGGAACACACACCCCCAGCTTCGACTCCCTCACCCAGACACGTCCCACGGTGACAGCATGCTACACGACAGCTACGATCGGCATGTGCACGCACGTGACGTCGCCCCCACCGACGACACGTTCGACTGCGCCATCGCCATCCACCCGAGCTGCCGACACCCTCCTCATAGCTGCGCAGTTCGAACGAACACCAAACTAAACTGCCGACACACGCCGCCTCATGCACGCCAACCCACAGTGAAACAACTACCGCTCCATGAACTCCCCAGTTTCAGAAAACGGTGCGACACACACAACGACGCCAACGCAGACGACCACCCCTTCAAGGACAAGACGCCTCCTGCGTCGTCTGCTCCGATTTCTCGCCTTCTCCCCGGGTCGTCTGCTCCGATTTCTCACCGCAGCCACGTCATCGCAGCCGCCCGCTCCGCACGCCTGCCCGTCTTTACTGTGCACCCATTCGCTCCGCCAGTGCGTCCCGCAGAATCAGCGCATCCCCCGTCGACGACTCCATACACATCGGCCTCAAGGACCACTGCATCCCAAGATCCACCCTGCGACGCACACCATCCGCCCCGACCTCCCACAGTAGATTGTCGTCGAAGGGGATGCCCGCGTCGATGAGTATGTTGTGCAGAATGCAGACGACGACGAACTGCTGCAGCAACGTCTCCATGTTTGTCTTGTGGGAGCGAAGGAACAACCTCCACATCCCCTTCAGTCTGCCGAAAGCCCTCTCAACTGCTCCCCTCGCCGTCTTCTGCTTGTTGTCGAAGCGCAACTCCGACGGGTGCTGTGAGAGACCGCCGTAGGGGACGAGTACCCATTCGGAGGGGGGATAACCGTTGTCGCCCAGCAGATACCCGTTCGTCTGCACACCGAAGGGCAGCATGACAGGTGGCCCAGTGAAAAGCTCCCCTGCCTCCGCGCGCGCCCATAAACTCGACAGGTGGACAATCCTCACGTCGTGGCAACTTCCCAGATATCCGACGAACACATCCAAGGCACGCAAGTTCAAATCGACGACGACCTGCGCCTGGACGGAGAAACGGCGTTTTCTATCGTAGTAGTCCTCCTCGGGGCAATTCGTTGGCTTGTCGATGAAGATGTGGGTGCAGTCGATGCACCCATGGCAGTTAGGGAAACCCTTGTCATCGAAAGTGCGCAAGACGACCACGTTTTGCAGCCCCGTCAGCCACGATATCTTGTCGGGGTACGCACTCAGCAACGCCGCAGTTACACACAGCACGAACACCAGAAGATCTGCCAATGCCGAAGCTGCATGTCCCGCTCTCGTACGTCTCCCCCGACGCCCACCGGTACAAAGCGTACGCGACAATGTGGTCAGGTTGGAGGGGCTCCCTATAGAAAGTGACACGCCATTGAAGGAAGGGAGACAGAGCTTCCGCGATCTCTCGAAACACACGTGGCGACATGCGCAGCTTGTCGTTGAAGTAGTCGGCCGTCACGTTCGCATTGCCGCAGATCCTCCCATGGCCCCCCTGTCTGTCACTTCATCCACCACCTGAGCGTCGCTCTGGGAAATGCTCCACACCCCATGGCGTAGCACACTTGCAGCACGGCGTCGCAAATGGCACCAGTGTCGAAGCCGTCCACATTCATGGTCTGCAGCGTCCTCTTCCGCCGTGCGCGAATGGCCGCTCTCATCCTCCCCTCGTTCCTCTGCAATTGACACCGGAAGCGGATGGCGTTCAAAGCCGCTGCCACCGCCGTCCTCTCCGCCTTGCTCGGTGTGTCACGGCCCGCCTCCCCGTTCATGTCCATCGCCGAAACTGGTACTGTCGACATGGGCGTTGCCAAGTACAGAAGACTCCATGTGCACTGGGGTGCACAACAGCGATGGTGCAAGTGACAATCGGAGTGCACGGCGTAGACGTTGACGACAAAGGTGCACCTGTGAAGATGACAACGATGGCGATCGTGTGACAGTGTGTCTGGTGCTTCGGATGTGTACATGTACGTTCGACGTGCCCGCCGACACGCAGCCGCCACCCCGTACCCAAACGCTTCCACCGAGGAATGTTGCTGTCGTCTGCCGCAAGGGACGCCCACGCCGCCGTAAGTCACTTCCCGAAATTCGAATCCGGGACTGCGCGCCTTTTCGGTGGTCATTTTCTTTTTTTAACGCCGCCAACTTTTGAATTTGCGCCGCCCACCCGAGCTGGACCAACGACGTCGGCACGGACATGCTGGACCAACCTGGGCCACCCCCCCCCACGTCCTCTTGTCGATATATGAAACTGGCCGCGGAAGCCCCCGAGGAATCGTCCTCGGGGAACAATTCCGAGGATGAGTGGAACGACGGCGCGAATTTCCTCGTGCGACGATGGGAGAATTTCCTCGGGCCCCGAGGACGGCCTGAGGAGTGTCGAACGATTTTGGTCCGTTGGCACCCGACCTCTGAAGAATGCGGTATAGGTTATACCACATTCTTAGGGGGTTTCGAGTTTGCCTGTGAAAGGTACTGGTGGTTTAAGGATATATGTTCTCTTGTGAAGCTCCAAGCAGAAGAGGCACCTTCCAACTGTGTGTAACCGGGACGGAATGGAGAGGGGGGGGGGGGGGGGGGGGGGGGGGGTTGCAAGGCGTCGTCAAATTAGAGGGGTTGGGAGGCCTCGTAGAGAGGACTCCGGGTCGACGCTTCAGAGCGGGAAAGAGGACAGTCGCCATGGGGAGGGCACAGCAACGCCATCATGAGCCCGCTCCGAAACATGTGTAGGAGACGTTTAGGGGTCGCTCCCCTATGTATCGGTACCTTGTCGTCGGCCAGAAGGTCGACAACAAGGGGGTGATGATGTTGCGTTGCACATTTTGCATCAAAGTGTTCCAGGGGACTCAGTACCAGGCCACGAGACACTTCGTCCAGACTAACTAGTGCAAGGATGTCAGCCACGAGGCTACGAGATCGCAAGACGGACTCAACAGAAGTTAGTTTGATCAGACGGAGAGGGTTGGCAGGTAAGTAGCGGAGTGTGGACTCGACGTGCCCGGGCAGGTGGTGCAAGGGGAGGAGAGGCGGGGCAGCGTTCGGTGGAAGGAGGGGGTGGGGTAGATGGTGGACAGGGTGCGTCCGACTGCCCATTGGGGGGTGGAGGCGGTGACATGGAGGAGGACGTGATCCACATCGATCGAGAGGCACGTGGCCTGGGCGAGGAGAGATTCCCGGTGTCGGGGCAAATACCCTGACAAGGGTATTTGCCGGGGTTTTTCAACGTCGGACGTTGTCTGACCTTTTCGTTGAATTGAAGGACTTGATGAAACCGACGTTTGCCAAAAGTTTATTCAGACCAGAACCATGACTAAGGAACTAAGAGTTTTCAGACTTTAGTCCGGAAGCGTGTGACGTCCGGGGGTAATGGATGGGAACGACAATGCTTCACTTTTGTCAAAGCCGCAGGAACGTGCGGACATGGGAATGTTAAAATTAAACCTATTCTACCTAAAATAATGTCGCACGGCTGCTAAGCCGCGCGATTCAGGGCCTAAATGGGCTAAAAAGAGGGTTGCGACGGGTATGGGGGCGCGACACAGGAAGAATAGGACGTTTTGTTTTTTCTAAGGCCGCGGGGTTTGACTTCGAACCTGGGGGCCGAAAGGCTGATGCCAGGGCCTACCCAGCTAGACGTCCAAACAAGCCACCGGTCATGCAGCTAACCGGTAGGGGAGATCCGCAGACAGGTAGGCCTGCTAGGCCACATGCGGGCGCAGGCAGGGAAGTTGTCTAGGCTAGCTCTTCATATCGAAGAGATGCTCCTCTTTAGTGTGAAACAGGAGCTAGCCCAGTAGGATACGACGCCAGACTTTCACCCGGCTGACACCGGGATCGAATCCGACGAACAGCACCGCTGGGCTGGCTCCTTTTGGAGCTGTTTTTTTTTTAAGCCTTCCAAGCGCGGCCGATCTCGGCCGTTCGATCATGAGATCTCACGGCTGAGATCAGCCGCGCGGAGTTAGCTTAGCCCTGCGCAAGGATGACACACATAAATCGAGAAATGGTCCGAATTTTGTTCGATCCAACAGGGATCGAACCCGGGTCTGTATTTCAACAGTTCGTGGGTGAGCCCACGAACGTAGCACCACCGTTGGCAAAAGCCAACGGGAAAAAAAAAAAAAAAAAAAACTAACTACAGCGCGACAGATGGCGCAGGGAGATGTGGTTGGGGACTTACAATCCCCAAAGAAGACAGGCGCCCGTTGAAAACGGGCAGCCGTTTTTTTTTAGGTAAGTTTCTTTTTTTTTTTCTTTTTCTTTAGATTTTTCTTTAGATTTTTCTTTAGATTCTCATGTTAGATTTTGTTAGATTTTTCTTTTTCTTTTTTTTTGTTTTCTTCTTTTTTTTAGTTCGAATACCCGTTCGTTCCGAACAAATGGGTGACCAGACTGTTTCGTCGGGGCTGCACCGACTCATCAGGAGGTTGGACATCAACAGTTCGTCGTCGCGCCCGAATCCGACGTCAAAAGCGCCTAGGTTCGGGCAGAGAGAGAGAGAGAGAGAGAGAGAGAGGGGGGGGGGGGGGGGGGGGGGGGGGGGAAGAAGGGGGGTTGCCACTTTACCTGTGGTTGGCCCCTCGAAAACTGCCAACGACGGGAAGAGCAAAATCGAATGAATCTACCTGTAAAGCGTGTCGAGGTACGTCTTTCCAGGTGAGTTTTTGTTTTTTCTTTTTTTTGTTATTATTGTTGTTTTTCCCCCTCCCCGTTCGTGAGTTGTGGTAGCTCGACCAAACAGGGAAAACGAGGGGGGCTGAAACGAATAAAACTAAAAACTGTAAAAAAATAAATAAATAAAAAAGAAGCAAAACAAAAACGAGGCAACTACCTCGTGAGACCAAAAAGAACAGTCTTTTGACTGTGTGGGAGCAAGAAGAGCTCCCACTTCGATTTCGGAAGAATGACTGTGGCCGCGAGATCCCAGATCTCGCGGCTCACAGCGTGCGCTTGTGGGGAAAGGAACTGAGGAAGTGGAAGTGAAGGAGAGAGAGGGAGGACGAGGCAGTTGGGAGGAGGAGGTCCTACCCCTCCCAAACTGACAAACTGCCCTCCTCGTTTTCAGGGGAGGGCAGAGCAAAAGGAAGGGGGCTGTTGCATGCAACAGCATGCACCTGGCCAAGGTAAAAGCCAGGTGCAGTAAAAATTAGGAAGATAGTTTTTTTTCTTTTCTTTTCTCTATTTAGTGTGAGGACACTTGTCCTCACGTGGTGCTACCTCTGGCAGAAGCTGCCGGAGGTAACTGTCAGGCTCCCGTTTTTGAAGGGAGCCTGGAAATTGAAGGGCCACTAAGGAAAAGGCTAGGTGCAGCCTTTTCCTCGATGTATCTGCCCTGGGAAAAGGGTCCAGATACATCAAACTGTAAGGGGTTGTATTTCTCCAACCCCTTATCAGAAAAATAAAAGGGTCCAGATACATCAAATTGTAAGGGGTTGTATTTCTCCAACCCCTTATCCAAATACAAATTTTACTAATTTTGGCTTGTTGTTTTTCACTGCGGTAGTACGAGAGTGCTGCCGAAATTCTGCGGCGGCGACGCAGCTTTTTACGGCAGCGGTACGGAAGTGCTGCCGAAATTCTGCGGCAGTGACGCGGCTTTTATGGCAGCGGTACGGAAGTGCTGCCGAAATCCTGCGGCGACAACATGGTTTTTTCGGCGGTGGTGTGGAAACGCTGCCGGATTTTTGCGGCGGAGGTTCTGTTTTTTTTGGCGATGGTGCGGAAGCGCTGCCGGATTTTTGCGGCGGCGGTTCTGTTTTTTTTGGCGGTGGTGCGGAAACGCTGCCGGATTTTTGCGATGATGGTTCTGTTTTTTTACGGCGGTGGTGCGGAAACGCTGCCGGATTTTTGCGGCGGCGGTTCTGTTTTTTTTGGCGGTGGTGCGGAAGCGCTGCTGGATTTTTGCAGCGGCGGTTATGTTTTTTTTGGCGGTGGTGCGGAAGCGCTGCCGGATTTTTTTGAGGCGTCAGTATCGGATTCTTGCAGCGACGACACTATTTTCACGACAGTATTATTTTTGCACTAAGTGGAGGTGGGGCGTTGGCACCGAGAAGGTGCGTTAAAGCAATGTTGCATTTTGAAGTGGCCTAAGCGTGACGACGCGGAGACGCTGTGGTTTGGAGCCAAGTAGCAATAACGAGAAAACGTCGCCAGATTATTGGAAGATGATTGTGTGCTGAGAGGGTATTCTAGCAGGCGGTCGTCACAAGGGAGAGGTGTTGATCACTTTGCTGACGACTAGGTGCAACGTCCTTCTCGTGAAGAGAGCGTAATTCTATACGGTCTTCTTGAGTGAGCCGGATCAAACTTCACTCAAGGTCAGTTGAATGACTCAGACTTCCTTTCACGCCTGTGTGGACCCGCACTTTGCTTGACCCTGTTCGTTTTGAATATTCAAAAGAAAAGGTAGAGGAAAGTTGTGCAAGTCATGCATGTGAATGGAAAAGTCTGACTCGAGTATGGGATTGTACTGTTTTTTTTTTAACGTGTTTCCTTTGCGGTCTGTGCAGGTAGGTAGAGGGATGCTTACAAAGGAGATTGATTATGCCTATTTGAGATGAAGAAATGAATTGTTTTCTTTCTACCTTTCACATGCCTGCTTGTCAAAAAGAACTTGTTGTTTTGGAAAAATGTTATTCAACGTGTGTCGTAGAATGAATTCTATTGAAATAAAGCAGATAAGGTCAAACGGATTTAGCTTTTTCCCAAGGATTGACCCATTCTATCCCGAACGACCTTATCTACCTGTACCTGTCTAAATGATTCTCATTTTCTTTATCTCTTCTGATTTCTTTTCGTCTAAGTTACCCCGGGACTTAGGAGAAAATAAAAATAAAAATGAAAGTTACTTGCGGTGGACGCATCCACTATCTCTAGGAAGCATCTGGGGCGGGGGTTCGTTGCTTCAGGAGCCGACCTTGTTATCGACCGAGAGTGGACCGTTCTAATGGGGGGAACTTGCCGATTCGGTGGAGACGGTCCGACTTCTGAGATCCGAGTCTTGTGATCGGACGAGGAGGAGTACCCCAAACCACTTCCTAGAGGAAGAGGCATGCTTCACGTCAAGCAATGCCCCTGATCAAGAATCATGCGCAAGCGATTTGTCATCCAAAAAGATTGGAAATGGACGAAGACAGGTATGCACGTCGAATCTTAGATCGATGATAGGATGGAATGAATGACTTTGGCAACGCGTCTCATCAAGTCAAAACCGAGGTTGTCCAACTACCATGTTGGCAACATCAATGTTATTTTCGATTAGCCAACTTTTCGTTGGCAGTTGTTTTGATTGTTTTGTGGTATTCGACCTGAGGCGGCCGGATAGTTTTTTATCTTGTGTTATTGGATGCATGAGATGATGATTTGTATTTTTTTCAGTTATCTTTTCATACTGGGAATATTTATTCGTGTCGGCTACGGTCGATTCCTTTTGATATAATTATATGTATGGTTGTCGTAACTTTCGCTTGACTATGGGTATAAGGGACTAGGATGAATTGTAGTTTCACGCTTGGTTGAGACTGTCCTAGTCGACCGGCGTACGCTTCGTACTTGGGAGATCGGCGCCCCAGGGAACGAACGACGTTCGGGTCCATTCGGCGTTTAGCCAAACATTTCCTATACTGCAGCAAGACGAGCAAACGCCCTCGGCTGATCTACCCCTGCGATTGCATCTAAAAGCCTTCGCACGTGGGTCAGTAGCTCGGTAGGGATACGCCCCTAAGGGTGGTGACAGCCCCTTAGGGATGCAAGCTTATGCCCCGCGAAAACCTATCCTGTCGTAGGGGATCGTGGGATGTATAGCCGGCGCACCCAGCTAGAGCGGCGAAGGAGCGATGCAACCGCGTCCGTCTCGGCGGTTCGCGGAATGTTATGCGTCGTTCCCGAGTTGTCTCTTGAAGATATTTTTTAGATAAACTCCTGCGTGACATGGCCAGGAGGGCCCTCGTTTGCACGCGAGGGCCGATGCGCTCGACACCGGGACACGAGGACGTGCCAGAGTTCCATCCAAGCACTCCTGCGAGGATGGTGGACTGACTGCGACTAGTAGGCAAGGGACAGGTGCCTGCAATGGAGGTTCTGAAGGAGGAGGGTCCTTCAAAGAGGAAGGATGGAGGAGCTGATCCAGCTGCCACCCAAGCTGGAAAGAGGCTTCGCCAGCAGAAGGTGACTGAGGTCTACGGTGGCGTGTGGGTTGCTCGCCACAAGAAGGTTTTCCTTCAATGGCTTTATTCCAGCAGGGTCTCCTTCAATGCCTTTCGCAACGAGGCATGGAAGGCATATCAACAGGTGCTTCTTGAGCAGCCTGGCAGTTCGCCGCGCGCTGTGCTCCCCAGCCACAGCGAGATTGCGAGCATGCAGGCGGTGGAGACCCACTGTGCGGAGTTGGCGGAGGAATTGGAGGAGGTGAGGCAACCATTCCGGGTGACTGGTGCCACCATCCTCTCAAACGGGAAGAAATCACGAGACGGGAGACCGATCGTGAATTTCCTTGTCGCAGGCTCGCGAGGGGTCGTCATGTACATGACGATCAATCGAGAGGGGGAGCCGGACGATGCAGAGCACGTCCTTTGGAGATGGGTCACCATCTTCCGCGAGTTCAGGTTCGGTGGACCGCAGCGGGTCAATGCGATATGCATTGACTCCGCTTCCGCGTATGTGGGGGCTGCAAAGGCAATGACCTCGCCGACCATGCCTCTTGCACTGAGGAGGATCACTTGGCTCCCATGCTCCATCCATGTCTGCAACAAATTGTTGTCAGACATGGTGACGAGTTGCGACGCGTTTGTGGACATGATCACACGCGCTCGTGTGCTGGTGGTGTTTTTCAAAACCCACTAGGCCGCCCTTCACTTTTTTAGGAAGCGCAGCCCCAACAAGGGACTTGTTCTTTCCTGCAAGACGCAGTTTTCGTCTGTTTACTCCATGCTGGAGAGGCTGCCGGCTCTACAGGACACTTTGCAGGACACTTTGCAGGGCATGATGCGAGGGGACGACTCGTAGGCTTTTGCTTCCATCTCGTGGTCCGTCGATGTGCGCATCATGGCGCGTTGGGTGCGCCCACAGATCAACTGGGATCCTTGGTGGCAGAGGGTGGCCACCATCGTCCATATCATGGAGCCCGTCATGCAATTGCTTAGGCGGATGGATCGTGGAGGGCAGTTCATGTCGCTCATGGTCGAGTGGGCACACGATCTTGTCCACCGTGTGAAGGACGCATGCGCTCCTTTGGGCCAGTCCTTTGCGGACTGGATCATCAGGCGTGTGCAGACCCCCACACATCACATGCTTGAGTCGGCTCACTGCGTCGGGTTCTTACTGAACCCCCGCACGCGACATGTTCGCTACTTTCCAGGCGAGGTGGAGGATTACCATGCTTGGCTTGTGAGGCAAACCAAGAGGTACATTCTGACGCAGACGGGTTTCGAGTTCGACGGTGCGGATTACATCGTTGCCTGTCGGCAATTTGAGGACTTCCATATGCAGCAGGGCAGGTTTGGTGGTTGGGGCGGGGCGGAGGGGCGTGCTCGTGGGCGCGCGTGTAGCGGTGACGCCGAGACGACTGAGTGCACGTCTTGGTGGTCCCAGTACGGGCTGGCGCTCCTGAGTTGCAACGGTGCGCTCTTCGTGTGATACACATGTGGTCCTGCACCTCTCCGGCGGAGAGGAACTGGGCAGTCCACAAGGGCATCCACACGAAGAAGCGCAACCAGTTGGCCTTCGAGAAGCTCGTGCAACTCGTTGGGATCACCGCAAATGTGCGGTTGACAGAGTATCGGCGGGCAGGATGCGGTTATGTGTTGCCATGGTAGCGGGACGAGGGCATGCTCGACTACCAGGCCGGACTCGAGGTGGAGCCGGTGCGCACGGGCACGCGCAAGGGGATGACGCAGGAGGAGATTGCCCAACAGATTGCGCTTATTATGCGCGATCCCATCGGGGCTTTCGCACCACCATTTGCTGATGCTGTTTTTGATAGACGTGCTTGCATTTTCCGTCCGTACCCCAGGGATGATGACTCGGATGAGGAGCGGGCACCCGAGGCAGCAGATGACCCTGCGCTCCCCATTTCTCCTGAGATCGACGAGACGCGCGAGGATGCCGACGACGCGGAGACGAGAACATACACCGCACGACGGGCGGCGGACCGGGCCGAGAGGGAGATGATGGGGGGAGACGAGGATTATTGGGGCCCTTTCGGGGAGGTGGCTTCCAGATGTGATATGCGTGATGATAGACTCGGGGGCTCTCATGCTGGCACGAGCCGCACAAAGGCGGGGATGAGGACTCCTACTCCGACGAGGCGAGAGTCGTCCATTCCGCCACCTCCTGCTCCGAGTCCTGCACCACCATCGCCCGTCTTGCCACTTCAACCGGCCACTACAACGGCGGAGACGGAGGAGTTGGCATCCTCCTTGTCTTAGCACGTACTTTTGCAGAGATCTACGACGATTCGCCAACTGAGGTTACAATCACCTTCCCCGGAGGTCTTGCAGGAGGAGGTTGGCCACAGTGCCACTCCGACGGACAGGGGGGGACAACGGCAGCGGAGGAGGAGGTCACGACAACAACAACGGCGGAGGGGGAGGTAGCAACAGCGGATGAGGAGGTACCAGCAGTGGCGACGGGGGAGGAGGTGCCAGCTGGAGCAGCAGTGGAGGGGGAGGAGGAGGTAGTGCCAGCGGTGGTGGTGTCAGACGTCGATATGGAGCATGATGGTGCGGACGCCACTGGGGGCGGTCACGACGCCGAGGAGCACCTCATGCAGCAGTTTCTCATGGAGGAGCTCGATCCAGTCGTGGGCGGTTTCACCCCGGGTGTGGCAAGGGGGCTGGGGATGTCTCCTCACACAGGGTGGGCGGGTTCAGAGATGGGGACCCATTTCGACTTTGACATGTCGATGGGCGCTCCCCCTACTTGCAGCGGGACGGCATCGACAGATCGGGCGCCATCGAGGGACGAGGCAGCAGGCGAGATGGGGTCGCAGACCCCGAGAGAGAGGATGGCGGCGAAGTCCCAAGATACGGCACACGACATCATGGAGCGAGAGAGGGCTCGACTTATGGCATCCAGCAACCCACGTGCTCAGGCGTTCGCACGGGCCTTGGAGGAGCGCAGGCGTCGAGAGATAGGGAGAGATGGTGGGCAGGGTGGGGTGGTGGTGGGGGCGGACGTTATGAAGGGAGTGGCAGCAAAGGCGGTGGATGAGGCTATGGAGGGTGGACCACAGGCGGTGGATGAGGTCGTGGAGAATGGATATGGGCGAGATGGGAGGGCTGGCGACGCACGACCCGTAGTTCATGAGATAGTGACGGATCTAGTTGTCCCGTCCTCCGGCCTGCACTTGGTCGAGGCCCGACGGTCGCAGCCGGCTGAGGTGGCAGTGCATGATGTGCCACCTGTTATTATCACGGATTTGGGGTCCGAGCCGATGGTTGTGCCTCCACGTCCACAATGACCGGCTCTGCAAGAGGTCGATCGTCCATTGGATGCAGAGGAGTTGGCAGCGGTCGCTACGCGCGATGTCACTCGACTAGACTGGCGGATATTTAACCTGAAACTCACCCATCCCCAATGGCAGACGATCCCTTCGGTTCCATGGTGTCCTGCATCGCCGGTGTGGTCTTGGTCTACCTCCTGCGGAGGACATAGCACGACAGATGTTGCAAGGGTTTGGGGGGCCTGCAGGAGAGAGCGCCACATACAGGAGACATGCCACCCACTCCTCCTAGACCACGTGTGGGTGATCCATCGTCGTCGCCCACAGGCCGAGGCTCTCGATCCCCACACACGCTCGGGAGATCGAGAATTCGTGACACGACAGCAGTTGAGCGGGATGTGTGCGACACGACGTTATTCGGGAGGACGGACATAAATTTGGATTCCACCCGCCGTGTCACTGAGCTCACTGCATGCCTTCAGCCGGGTTTGGGAACCCGCGGCGCCAGGACGACCGGAGCGAGGGAGGTTGCAACAGCAGGTTGTGAACCTCAGTGAGGTCGCGACGGAGGAGTGTCCACCTCGACCTTGGACCACGCTTTGAGAGCAGTGAAGCGTGTTGTGCATGAGCAGACTCCATGCAAGCGTGGAGTGCCTCGTCCACGCCCCATGCCTGCAGAGGGGGTACAAGGAGGCAGAGCAGGAAGGGGAAGAGGGGTCGGTGACCGTGAGGCCAGCAGTCCGCTTTCCCCTACTTGCACGCGACTTCGTCATATTCTGTGCTCCTGTTTTTTTGGTCGTGCTCTCAAGTGCAGCGAGGTCGCGGCGGAGGAGTGTCCACCTCGACCTTGGACCACGCTTTGAGAGCAGCGACGCGTGTCGTGCATGATCAGACTCCACGCAAGCATGGAGTGCCTCGTCCACGCTCCGTACCTGTAGAGGGAGGTGCTGCACTCGGAGAGTCTTCGGGGGCAGGGGGGTTGGGGATGCCTCGTGGATCCTGCCGTCAGGACACGGTCGCACAGGCTAGCACGAGGGTCGTTCTGGTGAGGAAGGGAGGCAGCCCTGTCACCATCGAGGAGGATGATCCTGAGACGGCACCGACAGTGCGGGAGGAGGACGAGGACTATGAGGGTGAGGAGGAGAGTGAGGAGGAGGAGAGCGAGAGTGGCGATAGTGGTGACGACGACGAAGATGATGATGAGCCCCCACCTCCCCCACCGATGCGTGCATCGAGACGCTCCGCTGCACAGACGTCTTCATCCGCACGAGGGAAGAGGAGGTCGACATCTGACACTCGAGGGGGTACGAGGAGGCAGAGCGGGAAGGGGAAGAGGGGTCGGTAACCGTGAGGCCAGCAGTCCGCTTTCCCCTACTTGCACGCGACTTCGTCATATTATGTGGTCCTGTTTTTTTGGTCGTGCTGTCTTACCTTGTCAGGTAGTCACTGGTAGTGTGCGTGCTGTAGTTGTTGTTTTCTTCATGTTTTGTGTGTCATCTGTACAGTAGCGTTGGTCGTAGTAGAGTATCTCGCCACCGCTGACACGACTTGTAGAGTACTATTTTTCTATTATTCGGTATGTGGCACTAGTCGCGTAGTAATAGGATACATTGTATTATGTTACATTTTTCATATGTGATTTCAGTGACTGGTACTTCACGACTTTTCATGTCCATTACATTTTCCATGTATGATTTCAGTTACGAGTGCTGCACGTCGTGTGCACAACGTTTCATGTCCATTTTTGTCAGCGTGTGAATTTCATAGTTACGCCGGACCAGACCCCGGAACGATTCCGGGCCCCGGATCCCGGACCTTGCGGTTGGTCCCGGAACTCCGGAACTCCGGAATGTTCCGGAGGTCCCGGAATGTTC